ATCACTCTCTGTGAGATCATTCTTATCAAAGAGAAACATTTGTAAGTTAATCTTTCATTCATTCTCACAAATCATTGCTCTTTGACACTGTAGAATTATGAGGAATTTTCCATTCTTTCATCAACTCTGTAGAATTGTAGAATCAAGATGTCTGCAGTCTGCAATCACTCTTTGTAGTCACATAGAAAGATTCAGATCTGTGATTCACAATTACTCTTATTTACTAGAGTGATCTGACTATTCTGTGAGATCACTCACAGTGTAAGCAAACCTCTCTAGAGTAGTATAAATATCCCAGATCTGTCTATGAAATCTTATCTTCTTTTTTCTTTTTCTGTAACAGCTCTTATCTTTATAAACTGTGAGTATTCTTATTCATCTGTGAAGTGTTTTCACTCAGATGATAGAGAGAGAGTGTTTCTGATAATATTCACATATTGATTTAAGAACTTCTCAAGAATAAAAATTTTTTCAATTTCAACATCTTCATAAACAATGTCTGGCTGCTGCTGAGCTTCTTGTGAGCATCTCTGTGACTCCTTCAGTTGCTTTTTACTGACTGATGGAGCAGGGGTGCTGTCACCTATGACTGTGTCTTCACCTCTCTCAGTTCTGTCACTGCACCTGATCTTCAGGCCAGTGGCTCACTTCATCTCTTTCTCAGGCCAGTCTCTGACTTCAAGCAGTGCAGTTCTTCTCTTTGCTGTAAGTCTTCTCATAAGTAATTTCTTACAGACTCTAGCTGACAGTTCTTATAAAGCTTCTAGTGTTGCCAGTGTCTTCTGCAGCTCTGCAGGCCTATGATCATCTTCTCCCTACTCACACAATCTCTGACCAGACATATATGAATATACCTAGATTCTCTATCAATGATTCTCACACTGCAGTGCATTTCTACAATCTCATTATCAATGAGAGATGAGTCTCTGAATACCCGTAAAATCTGAGTAGTCAAGGCAATGTGAATGTCATGAATTTGTGATGAGAGTTGATCTGAGCAGATGAGCTCTCTCTTCATATTCTCATTATTTTCAGACTGAATACTTCAGCATAACTGAAAGAGTGAACATAGCTTTGTAAGAGATATCTGATCACATGTGCAGGTGGCCAGTCTTCAAGACTCTGTTATAACTGTACATACTCTGATGTTCAGCTTCTCTGAAGTCTGTGCATTTCTGACAGTCTTCATATCAAATGCAACAATTGTCTGTACCACAGACATGATACTCTCTGCTTCTTTGAAGAAGGAAATTGATAGTTGTGAGAGAATTAAGTGTTACAGATATTAATGATATGAGTGTGAGTTTTCTTTGTTTTTTCTTTGTTGATCTCTAAATTGCATTCACAGCCCTGTTTATTTTCTTGTTTTTTAGCTTTAATGAGAACATGTTTTCTTCTTCTCTTGTATACACCGCAGACTGTTCATCCCAGTAGAAACTCATCATCTTGTAGACTAGGGTTTGCAAATGACAGTGTTAATGTCTTTGTCACAATCAGGTTCTTAGTGAAGACTGTGTCATTCTGGCTTATCAGAATTTATGACATGAAAGTCATGTCTCAGCTTCTGCAGATATCTTATCTATCTGAATAATTCTCAAGTGAACTCATTCATCTTATCAGAATACTCTTATCACTGAATCTTGAATCAGAGCTTGCAATCTTGCTTCTCTAAGTTAATAATTTCTTTAATCTGATATTCTCTTTCACTCTCTAATGCTTCACAGACAGAGTGATGAGTCACAGAATTCTCTTCTAAGAATTCCTTATATTTACAGAGTAAAGAGACATGAAAAACATTGTGCATCTGCAACTCAGGTGACAGTTTTAATCTGTAGAACTGTGAGCTAACTTTCTTCATAATCTTGCAAGACTCTGTCTGTAAGAGATTCAGCTTCTTGCTAGATCTCTATATGATGATGTTTTCTAGACTCAGTCAGACTCTATTATCTTTCTTGAAACTCTTCACAATGTGCTTGAAGTCATAGTATCTCTTCTGATACTCTTGAGCCTTTCTCAAGAATTCACAGACTTTCTCCCAGATCTTCTGAATTCTCTCAGCCTGTTCACAGGCATTATCACACTCTATAGTATACTCTCACAGGTTCATCAAGATCATCTGCAGATGAGTCTCAGTGAGCATCTCAAAGAGGGTTTTACCTGTGCTGACATGCTTTGAGTTATTATATATAAACTCTGTGAGTGATAATCAATGCACTCAGTTATTCTGATTGTAATTGACAAAGCACTGCAGATACTGTTTCAATATACTCATCAGGTGTTCTATCTGATCATCTGTCTGTTGATGAAAAGCTGTGCTTAGATCTCATGAGATCTTCAGTATAGTTATCAGATCAGATCAGAACTCTTCTGTGAAGATTAATTCTCTGTCTGAGATAATGTTCACAGATAACTCATGCAACTGAATCACATCACAGACAAAGATATGAGCCAAATTCTTTGACTTCAAGTCCTTGCAGGTGGGTATAAAGTGTGTCATCTTAATGAAGTGATTTACTATCATCAGCACACTGTCAAAGCAGGCATTATATATGTTCTTGCTTTCAGAGAGGCTTACAAGAGCATTCATTTCTAGCTGTTCTCAAGGTTTCTGCAGGATGAGTAGAGGAGTAAGTTCTTCATATGACCTGAACCACACTACCCGCGAACCCTGACAAACAGCATAAGAATTCACTATCTTCTTCACAAGTTCTTGCATCTTCAGTCAGAAGTATTTTCTTGCAAGCAGCTTATGAGTTCTAGTGTCTGTAAAATGACTTACTAGAGAAGAGTTATGATGCCTTTTGATAAGTTCTATGTGTAGAAACTCATTCACAGGCACATAAATCTGACCCTCTCTTTACAAGAGGTCATTTAAGTCTCTTCAATTCTTTGTTTCTGCAGGGTTGGTCCCTGCTGTGAGCAGTTTCTGAATATACTGAGCATATTCATTCTTCAGTTGCAGTTCAGACAATCTGAATAGAAGATCTTATGAAGACTTATGCTCTGTTTCTTCTTGCACCAGATCTTCTGCAGTGCTTCTCAAAGCCTGCAAACTCTTCAGGTTATAGATACTCTCTTCAAGAATTCTCACAGAGATTCTCAGAGTGTTGACTCTCAGTATTGCAGAGAGTAGTTGTGCAGACTTCTTTCCTCTCTCTCTTCTCTTCTCTCATAGAGGATTAAGAGACTCTTCAGTCAATCTCTTTGTAACACTCAGTCTGAGCATTTCATGAAGCTTTTCTACCTTCTCTAGTCTCTCTGTATCTGTCACTCTGGCCTTCTTAACATAGTCTGGCCTGTGAGAGAGTCTGTCTGCTGGGTTCTTAATTCCCTTGATATATTCTATCTTGAACCAGAACTCACTCAGTCTCTGAGCTCAGTGAATCTGCTGCTGCAAGAGTTTCTTGATTGAAGTAAACTATTGTAAGCTGTTATGATCAGTTCTAACAGTAATCACTGTCATGAAACTCTCAAAGTAGTGACATTAGTGATGAAAGAATTTCACTATCATGAGAAGCTTCTGATCATGAATGCTATAGTTGATCTCTGCAGATTGCATCTTCTGTGAGAAAAAGGTCACTGAAACCCAGTTCTCATTTAACTGTAGTTGTGAGACTATTTCTGAAATTACAAAGAAAGAGACATCTGTCTTCAATCTGATTAAGAGTAAGAAATCAAAATGAAACAGCATCACTGCATTAATGAATGCCTGTTTCAATCTTGTAAAGGCTCTGTGAGCTTCTGAGATAAGAAAGTTCTTACAGTTCTTTCTTCTCAATAATCTTTTCATTCTCTGTTCATGGAATGATTTCTTCTTATTTTCATCCTTCAGCATGTCTGTAAGAGTCAAGAAGATTCTCATGAATACAAAGATAAATTATCTATAGAAATTCACAAAGCTCAGAAAGATCTGAATCTCATGAATACTAGTTGACTTCAGTCATGATAGAATAGTCTTAATTCACAAAGGTTTCATCTGAATATCATCCGCGGTGATTACATATTCTAGGAAATTAATTCAGCAGACACTGAAGTTGCACTTCATGAGCTTAACATACAGTTCTGCCTCATCTAAGACCTTCAACATGCTTCACACATGCTCAGTGTGTTCTTTCTTCTTCATGAAGTACATCATCACATCATTCAGATATATTATCATGAAGACATTCAGATATGCACAAAGTATTTTATTGATAAAAGACTGAAATGCTGCAGAGATATTAGTCAGATCAAAAGACATCACTAGATATTCAAACAATTTCAGTGCAGTTCTAAAGACAGTCTTTCATTCATTCTCAGACTGTATTCACAGTCATGTATATGCATTGATTACATTCAGTTGTATGAATATGACAGCTCTCATAAGACAGTTAATCACATTCTCAATCAGAGACAGAGAGTAGCAGCTCTTTATTATCTTGAAGTTCAGGTCACAGTAGTCTACACACAATCTGAGATCTTTATTCTTCTTCTTTATGAACATCACAGGGGCTCCCGCAGAGGCCTGTGAAGATCAGATGAAGTCATTCTTCAGATTCTTCTTCACATAGATCTGCAAGGCCTCTGTCTCATAATGAGAGAGCTTATAGATTGATTCTCAGAAGAGTTTCTGTTCTTCTATCAAATCTATTATCAGATTCTTCTCACAGTGAGAAGAAAGCTCAGCTGTCTTAGCTGAGCTGAATATCTCTATGAGATCTCAGTATTTCTCTGATATCTGAAGCTCAGTTTCCATGACTGTGAGATTCTCAGACACTTATAAAGTCATTATATAGATGAGCTTGTCTTCTCTAATCAACTCTGCAGCATCAACTGCTTCTATCTTCATAAGTGAGTCTGTCAACACTGATTGAAAGTATAAACCTGACTCACAGACAGCTATGTGCAGATTGTGTCTTTGAAGTCATGCAAGTCTCAAATACATGTCATCTGTGATGTCTGTGATAATCACAGTTTCTGCAAATCTTCTCCAGATTTCAGAGAGATCTTGCAATTCAAAGATGACCCTCACAAGTCTCTCAGTTCTCAGGTCTGAGTTCTCACACCCTGCTTATTGTAAGAGCAGGTTCTCAGTCTTCATCTTCCAGCTCATTCACTTCATGAGCTTTAGAGACATCACAGTGATCTGGGATCCTGAGTTCATTAATGCTTCTCATGCTTGCAGGGCAGCAGCACTGCAGTGCAGTCTCTTCTCACAAGCAAGCATTTTCATTGAGAAAGTAACAGATTCAGATGTCAGCTTCAAGGCCCTTAAGAAGGCTGTTACTGACTCTGTCCATGACTCTTCAAATTTCTATTTTGATTTGTTCAGACAGTTTGTGTGAAGATGTTCTGATTTAGAACAGATGAAGCAGAGTTTCTTTTTCTTGATCTCTCTGTTGTGTACTCTGTTTACAGAAGCTTGTGAAGCTCTCTCTTTCTGCTCAGCAGTCAGATGTGAATCTCTCTGTGTCTTGTCATCTTTTTCTGACAAACCTGTTCTCTGTTGTTCTGGCTCTTGCAGAGCTGGTCAATGATTCACTCTCTGTGAGTCTGTGACTCTCACAGTGATCTGCAAGTGATGGATGAGAGTCATCAGTTTCTCCAGAGTCAAGAGCTTAGAGTCTTGCTCAATGAGCTTGTTCTGCATGTCTTTATCCAGTCTCTTCATAAACATCATTATTCAGGTCTTGTTCCAGGGCCCTGTTTCCACAGGTTTCAATTCACATCACAATTCCATGAAGCACTGTGAGTAGTCTTTATCAGATTTCTCACCTCTTTTCCTAATGTTGATGATCACAGTTCAGGTGTTCTCTGTTCAGCTTGCAGAGTCTCTCAACTTGTTCTCTAGATAGGTCTTGAGAACAGACTATCAAGATCTCTCATGATCATTCTCTAGATGATTCAGCCAGTCCTTGACTTCAGTGTAATAGAGGCCTGTCATTACATAGGTGACAGCTTCTTCATCTTTCATGTCACACAGCCAGGCTTGCAAGTCAATTTCAAATGCAAACTTGCAAAAGCTTTTATAGATTGTGATTTGATAGATGGCCTTAAGTGGTCACAGCTTGAGAAAGTTTCTTTTCAGTTCATGAGTGTCTCTGAAGATCATGTCTAGAGACTCAGTTTGAGAGTGTTTGCAGGCAGTAAGCATTTCTTGTAGAAAAATAGCTTAATCTCACAGGAGATGCTCAAGAATGTTCTTCACTGAGATTGGTTCATTCATGAGTTCAGAGGGTTCCTCTGTCACAGATGCAGAGAATGGTGTCCTGCAAGTGATTGGTAAGTTCTCTGGAACTTCTTTCATGGAGGTTATCCATGATTCGAGTGACTGCTTCTGGGTGCCTGCAGTAGGGTTTGCAGGGGTTGAAGCATACAAGTTTCTAGTTCTTTCAGTCATAACAGGCGGTTGCTGACTGACTGAGCTTGAAATGTAAGAATAAGTGCTCACGGTGATTATTCAGGTGTTTGCAGCTTGATGTGATATGTACTGTTAACTACTAGAAGTGTTCACAGTAGAAAGATAAATGTAGGGATCAAGTGTATAATAGTATTTAAGCTGAGTTGCAAATAGTATTCGCGAACTCCAGTCTATATAGTTGTGTGTAGCCAAGGGCCGCTAGCCCTATTGGTTACATGAGAGATAGGAATAGGGGTAAAGAATCCGCGAGGAGCGGGATTTCTTACATAATTCATCTGCACTGGGTTCCTGCTCATATGAATATTCATGACAATGAATTGGCTGATTCAGCTGCAAAAAAGGGTGCAGAATTAAGCAGATCTATTCAAAAAATTGTGTCCTGGTCTTTTATAAAGAGAAAAATAAAAGAATCTTGTTTAGACAAGTGGAATGAAAGCTGGCAGAAACAAAAGAAGAGTATACATCATTCAAGATTTGAAACAAAACCCAAGTGAAAATCTTGTTCAATTAAATGTAAAAAGAAAATATTCTCATCTATAATACAGCTGAAACTAGGACATGGCTATTTCAAATCTTATATACAAAGATTTGATGATAGATTTGACTCAATAGAATGCTCATTCTGCAATACAAATGAGAATTCTGAGCATATTATAATGCACTGTGCATTATACAATAGTCTCAGAGCCAGATTGAAAGAGAAGTATGATCTAAATCAATTAAATATGAGATTCTTATTCTCAACTAAGACAGGAATTAAATACTTAATAGACTTTCTATCAGAAACTCAAGCAGCTACAAGAAAATGACTAAATTCAGAATTATCTGAATATGAAGAGGAGGAAATCAATCAGATTTAGTCTGTTAAAACAGCTATACACTCTCTTTTAATAATTTGTTTTGTTATAGTCTCTCTTTACTTTATCTTTTTCTTTATCTTTTCCTTTCATTTTCTTTCTATTTATCTATTTAATGTGTCTATCTTTGAGACTGTGTTCTTTTTCTCTTTTCTTTTGTCATGATATTGTCAAATGGTTTCAAAGTATCAAAAGATGTTAAAACACTGCAATTTGTAAACAGTTTTTGTATTCTGAGCTGGAATTTTCTGATTTTGCATATCTGAAATTGATGAATGTATAATAGTTAACTTTACAGACATAGAAAAAACCCTGAGAACTAAAGTTCTCAGGTAGATGTCATAGTCTCTGACTGCATACATCTATAATTGAAGAATAATAATAATAATAATTGTTCTTTAACACTGTAGAATTGTGAGAAATTTTTCATTCTTTCACTAACTCTGTAGAATTATAGAATCAAGATATTCACAGTCTTCAATCACTCTTTATAGTCATATAGAAAGATTCAGATCTGTGATTCATAATCACTCTTATTTACTAGAGTGATCTGACTGTTCTGCAGAATTACTCACAGTGTAAGTAAATCTCTCTAGAGTAGTATAAATATCTCAGATCTGTTTACAGAATCTCATCTTCTTTTTTCTTTTTCTGTAACAGCTCTCTTCTTTATAAACTGTGAGTATTCTCATTCATTCATGAAGTGTTTTTATTCAGATGACAGAGAGAGAGTGTTTCTAACAATGTCTGTATATTGATTTAAGAACTTCTCAAGAATAAAAATTTTTCAATTTTAATATCTTTACAAACAATGTCTGATCATCACTGAGCTTCTTATAAGTGTTCTTATAACTTCTCTGATCACTTTTTATCAGCTGATGAAGCAGAGATATCATCACTTATAATAGTGTCTTCATTCTCTCTCACTCTGTCACTACATCTGATCTTCAGGCCAGCAGTCAATCTCATGCCTCTTTCAGGCCAGTCTCTGGCTTTAAGCAGTGCAGTTTCTCTCTTTGCTGTAAGTCTTCTCACAAGTAATTTCTTACAGATTCTAGCTGATAGTTCTTATAAAGCTCTCAGTGTTGTCAGTGTCTCCTGCGGCTCTGCAGGCCTATGATCATCTTCCCTCTGCCTGCACAATCTCTGACTAGATATATATGAATATGTCTAGATTCTCTATCAATGATTCTCACACTGCAGTGCATTTCCACAATCTCATTGTTAATAAGAGATAAGTCTCTGAGTATCTGTAAAATCTAGATAATCAAGACAATGCAAATATCATGAATTTATGATGAGAGTTGATCTGAACAGATAAGTTCTCTCTCTGTATCTCAATTGTTTTCAGACTGAATACTTCAGTATAACTGAGAAAGTGAACACAGCTTCATGAGAGATATCTAATCACATGTGCAGACAGTCAGTTCTTAAGATTCTGCTACAACTGTGTATACTCTGATATCTGACTTCTCTGAAGTCTGTGCATTTCTAACAGTCTTTACATCAAATGCAATAATTATCTGTACTGCAGATATAATACTCTCTGCTTCTTTAAAGAGAAAAATTAGTAGTTGTGAAGAAATTAAGTATCATAAGTATTAAGAATATGAGTTTGAGTTTTCTTTGTTTTTTCTTTGTTAATCTCTATATTATGTTCACAGTCTTGTTTTTATTTCTTATTTTTTAACTTTAATAACAGTATGATTTCTTCTTTTCTTACATACACTGCAGACTGTTCATCTCAGTAGAAACTTATTATCTTATAAACTAGAGCTTATAAATGACAGTGTTAATGTCTTTGTTATAATCAGATTCTTAGTGAAGACTGTATTATTCTGACTTATTAGAATTCATAGTATGAAAGTCATGTCTCAGCTTCTGCAGATATCTTATCTATTCAGATGATTATCAAGTGAACTCATTCATCTTATCAGAATACTCTTATCACTGAATCTTGCATCAGAGCTCATAATCTCACTTCTCTAAGTCAATAATCTCTTTAATCTGATATTCTCTTTCACTCTCTAGTGCTTTGTAGATAGAGTGATAAGTCATAGAATTCTCTTCTGAGAATTCCTTATATTTATAAAGTAAAGAGACATGAAAAACATTGTATATTTGTAACTCAGATAATAGTTTCAATCTATAGAACTGTAAACTAACTTTCTTCATAATCTTACAAGACTCTATCTGTAAGAGATTCAGCTTCTTACTAGATCTCTACATAATGATGTTTTCTAAACTCAGTCAGACTTTATTATCTTTCTTGAAACTCTTTATAATATACTTGAAGTCATAGTATCTCTTCTAATACTCTTAAGTCTTTCTCAGAAATTCACAGACTTTCTCTCAGATCTTCTGAATTCTCTCAGTCTGTTCACAGACATCATCACACTCTATAGTGTACTCTTATGAGTTTATTAAGATTATTCATGAATAAGTCTCAGTGAGTATCTCAAAGAGAGTTTTATCTATACTGACATACTTTGAGTTATTATATATAAACTTTATAAGTAATAATCAATGCACTCAGTCATTCTGATTATAATTAACAAAGTACTGTAGATACTGTTTTAATATACTTATTAGATGTTCTATCTGATCATCTGTCTGTTAATGAAAAGTCATGCTTAAATCTTACAAGATCTTCAGTATAGTTATCAGATCAGATTAGAACTCTTCTATAAAGATTAATTCTCTATCTGAGACAATGTTTATAGACAATTCATACAATCAGATCACATTGTGAATAAAGATATAAGTCAAATTCTTTGACTTCAAGTTCTTGTAAGTGAGTATAAAGTATGTTATCTTGATGAAGTAATTCACTATCATCAGCACACTGTCAAAATAGGCATTATATATGTTCTTGCTTTCAGAGAGGCTTATAAGAATATTCATTTCTAGCTATTCTCAAGGTTTCTGTAGAATGAGTAGAGAAGTAAGTTCTTTATATAATCTGAACTACACTATCTACAAATTCTAATAAATAGTATAAGAATTCACTATCTTCTTCATAAGTTCTTGTATCTTCAGTCAGAAGTATTTTCTTATAAGTAACTCA